TGTAGAAAGATGTTCCACCATCAGATGTAGAGATGTTCCACCGTGCTGAATATACACTATATTACGAAAAGTATTCACTCACCTGCCTTGACTGTCATGTGACCTTCAGCGACGTCCCATTCTTAATCCACCATTTGCAGCTGTAACAGCTTCATCTCTTCTGGGACGGCTGTCCATGAGGTTTAGGAGTGTGTTCATGGGAACTACTGACCATTCCTCCAGAAGCGTTTTTGTGAGGTCCCACACCGATGTTGGACCAGAAGGCCTGGCTCTCAGTCTCTAATTCATCCCAAAGGTGTTCTGTTGTGTTGAGGCCAGTCCAGTTCCTCCACACCAAACTCTCTCCTCCATGTCTTCATGGACCTTGCTCTGTGCACTGGTGCAGTCATGCTGGAAGAGGAAGGGCCATGACCAAACTGTTCCCACAAAGCTGGGCGCACGGAAATCTCTTGGTTTGCTGAAGCATTCAGAGGACCTTTCACTGGAACTAAGGGGTCCAGCTCCTGAAGAACATCCCCCTCCACCAAACCTTACACTCGGCACAATGTGACCTCTGCACACTGTACGCCTCAGCATCCGCCGACCCCGCTCCGCCAGTTTACGTGTCCGACCACATCGTGGCTGAGTTGCTGTTGCTCCCAATCGCTTCCACTTTGTATTAATACCACTGACAGCTGATGTCACAGTTGCTCGCTGGAGGTCACTGAGCGCCTGAGAACCACCCATTCTTTCACACGTTTATAGAAACAGTGTGCATGCTGAGGCGCTTCATTTTAGACACCTGCAACATGGAAGGACTGGAACACCTGATGTCCGTTATTTGGATGGGTGAGTCCATTCTTCTGCCAATACAGTGTATCTTCAACAGCTGGCTCCTCTGCTCACTGTTTCTGAGCCCCGCTCCATTAACATGCTGATCTGTGCTAATATCACTGAATGAAGTCGTGTCGTTACAGGATCACACCCTGTACATGGTGTATAAATGTGTTTCTATGTGCAGCTGATAGATCGCTGATTAGAACATTGATTATTGGTTTATTGGATTATTATTGGATTATTATCCAGCAGCATCCTGTCCTGCATCATTTCCAGCAGCAGTTATTGTTGTTATTATTATTACTACTATTACAATATATTTAATCCCTATCTTTTATATATATATATCTTTTCTATATACCCCCCATTCAGAAGCCCATTTTCATATTCTGTTTGCACTATTTCTTATATTTATATGTACATTTTTCTGTCGCGTATATGTGTATCTCTGTGATAATGCTGCTATCAACAACATGAATTTCTCCACTGTGAGATAAATAAAGGCTGATCTTATCTTATCTTATCTTAAAACAAGCTGCTGGCTGAAGCAGGAGGAACCTGATTGGTCCGTTCACTTTAGAAGAGTCACATGACGCGTTAAACGCCTCCTTTAATAAGAACAGAGTCTGAAGCAGAAAGTCTGATGAACAAAGAACGCTGATAAACAGCTCCGTGATACCTGAAGTCTCTGACTGGGATTTAGTTTTTGTCAAATCGACTCACAGGTAGAAAGCCTGGATCTGTTAAACCTGCCCTGTGAAGTTCAACAGTTTGAACTTTGTGTTTGTTTCATCAGACAGCAGCAGAGTGAAGCAGACGCACAACAACACACACACCGTGACACACAGTGTGTTGTTGGTTTCACTTCTAGTTTTCCGCTCTGATTGTGAAATTGACTCTCCAACTGTCACATGAAGCTTCACAACAAATTTGTCCGACTGCTCTGTTGTTTTGTTCAGTGTGATCTCACTGACTCAGGTTATGAGCAACACCTGCCGAGTTTATCTCACGATTAGTTTAGTTTGTCTTGAGACTAGTTTATTTTATCTCAGGTTTAGTTTAACTTCTCTCAATATTAGTTTGGTTTATCACAGGTTTAGTTTATTTTATGTGATGTTTAGCTTACCTCAGGCTTAGTTTAGTTTAGTTTATCTCAGGAGTAGTTACATTTATCACAAGATTAGTTAGTTTATAAAAGTTTAGTTTAGTTTAGATCAAGCTTAACTTAGTTCAGCTCAGGATTAGGTTAGCTTATCCTAGGTTTAATTTGATGTAACTGTCAGGACCTGTGGGGTTTTTTCAGGTGGTTAAACTCTTGCTAGTATGGCTACAAGCATAAGATTGGTTGCAACACCTGCCAGTCAAACACACCTGTAAACACGTCCTCTTTAACTCTAAAAATTACTCTTATTCTGAAAATCACAGAAACATAAAGGCTATACATGTCATGTAAAACTGAAGTTTTGACTTCAGACGTCTTCACTGCAGGTAATCTCCCTGACAACCCAGCAGCTGCCATGACGATGGGTGCCGCCCAATCTCCTGGTCAATCGGACGCCAATTACAATGGTCCAAGCTCCGCCCCCAGGCTGCTGGAGCTGGTCCAGAACCAGAAAGAAGATGATGTGTGGAGGATGAAGGTGCTGGGTCTGCTGACACAACTGATCCAGATCCAGAAGGAGGTCGCCAAACATCAGGCCCAGGTGGTCCAGCAGCTTGACATTCTGGGAACTCAGGTAGGTCCAGCAGAGTGGCATCTTAATGTAGTTTATGTCAGGTTCAGCAGCATTTAGTTTATCACAGGATTAGTGTAGTTCGGTAGATGTAGTGTAGATAACTCTAGCTTAGATATGTTTGAGAAAAGCTTAGTTGAGCCAGTGTGGTCCAGTTTTTCAGAATGATGGGAGCGCTGATTAGGTAGAAATACTTAAACGCGCCATCACCTGTTCGAATGCGATTTACACCAGTTCAATCTGGTTTGAGCTCAGAGAAAGTCTCGATTAGTTAATTATCACGTTATTTGCCGGTGAGGTGGTTCAGTCCAGTTTAACGAGTGTTGTGGTGTTCTGTCCTCAGGGGTCCCAGCAGATCCAGGATCTGCAGAACCTGGCTCGGCACCAGAGTCTGCTGGTTGAGAACCATCAGGCTTTACTGCTGCAAACGTCCCGCATTGCCACCCAGCTGCAGGACATGACCAAGAAACCTGCTGCTACAAGCCTGTGACCCAGCCAATCATCTCTGCCCCTCCACAGGCAGCCAATCACTTCCTTTGACCATAATGATGTCATCTGTTTTCAATGATGATGAAATTAGTTGTTGTTCACATAAATGTTTTTATACCAGTTAACCACAGAGTCTGCCAGTTGTTATCCAGCTAACAAACCTGTCGTCAGTTAATGAATGAATCAAGAAGCTGAGAGATTTTAAAGCACAACATTTTTCAGTAAATTAACATAATCAGTTTTTTTTCCAGAAATTTGTTGTAATCTCAGCGTCATTTCAGAGATTGTAACTGTGATTTTGCTGTGATTTCAAATAAATGTGCATTGTTTCCTCCCTGCAGTGGTGTGTTTGTCAGTGCTGTGACTGTCCATTTATTTAACAGTTTTAACTGACCTCCACAATGTTGGCTAACAGTCATTGTTGGAGTTCCTCAGGGTTCTCCTATTGGTCCTCTACGGTTTCAATTTCCAGGTTAACAACAGACAAGAAACTTTACGGCAACAAATCTCACAGAGAAACTGGTTTTCCTATTGTCACAACAAAAAACTGTCAAAATTACCTGAGTTTTATGAACTATGGCGGCATTTTCAGAAGTTAAGGCACAAAAACTAGTTAGAAAATTTCCATTTGCAAACATATATGTGTGTCAACACAACACGGACATATTCTGGATTTAAAAAGTAACAGTCACCTGAGTCCACGTCCAGCAGGGCTAAAAATCCTTTTTGGGGTTCCTCAGAGCTCTGGTCTAAGTCCTTTATAGTTCTGATTCACATACTAATATGTAGTGAGTTTATTTATAGACTCTATTTCTGTTTAATTTAATTTTAGCTCCTGATAGGTGTCTGGTTTCCTGTACTCATCTTCACACCTGTATTTTGGGGCTTAGTCAGGTGTTCTTGTCATTGTTCGTCATGATTTTATCTTTCATTTATGTTTATCGTTTATTTGTTTCAGAATTTCCTGGTCCGCCGATGATCTCTCTGAATGCTAACTTCCTACCAAATCAATCAGACGCAGTTCTGGTGGTCGGCTCTGCCTTCAACCTCAGTTGCCGTGGTGATGGGTCAGTCTACTGGTCCAGCTCTGCATTCCGTCTACAGTTTATAGACAGATTGCCAGATCCAGTGCAGGTGAGCACGGCAGACCCCCGACACACCGGGACGTACCGCTGTGGGTATGCCAACCACAGCCTGGAGCACCTGTACACGTGGATCCACCTGTACGTCACAGGTAAGATGAGCAGAGGTCACGCCCCCTGTCAGAGTCAGGAAGCAAAAAGTTTTGAAAAATGTTTCCCTCTCTGCCAGACCCAGCCCACCCCTCCAGTGTCTTCATCACGCCTCGCAGCAGCGCTCCCAGCCTCAAGGAGGGCCAGGACTACCTGTTCAGGTGTCTGCTGACCGACCCATCCATCACAAATCTCACCCTCCAGTCAGAGGATAGAGGGAGGAGCCTGCCCCCAGGTATGAACGTGACTTTTGACCCTCGAAGAGGAGCGCTGATCCAACACCTGCAGAGGTCCTTTAATGGACATTACACCTGTTCAGGTTGGAAGGATGGGAAACAGTTCAGATCCACACCTGTGAACCTGCTGGTGGTCCCCAGTAAGTCTGCCTGCTTCCCTGTCCATCTGTCACCTGTCTGTACACCTGTCTGCTCATTAGTCAGTGTGCTTACCTGTCTGTCTGTCTGCAGGGCTGCGTCACCCCCCCTCGCTGTCTGTCAGTCAGGATGAATTTGTCCGCCTGAGAGGAGAGCTGTTTGAGGTCACCTGTCTGAGCAGTAACCCCTCCCACTTCTACAGCGTCACCTGGACACACCCACGGATACAGGTGAGTGGTCAGAGGTCACCTGTGTGTCTCTGCTCCTGACAAGCTGTGTGCTGATTGGTTGTTTGGTTTATTTCAGAAACTGAATGTCACCATGAGGCGTCAGTATAGCAACAGCCACATGCACATCAACAGCACGCTGAGCGTCTCTGCTGTCCGCCGGACACACAGCGGCCTGTACACCTGTACAGCTGTCAATGAGGCTGGAGTCACCATGGCAACGACACAGCTCAGGGTGCTGGGTACGTAAACAACAAGATGACAGAACAGGTAATAGCTGACAGAGTGACGGTGACCCTTCTTCCTTTTCAGATCGGCCGTACCTGAGGGTCTACCTGCTGCCCGTGCAGCACGCTAATGCCAACACCAGGACCGCACAGGTCAGCAGGGACCGCTTCACTAACATCACTCGTAGTTCTCTGGATGCTAATGGAGAACTGATGGCAAATGTTTGCACTGAGGGAACACATGTGAATGGGACTAGCAGCTTTAACATTAGCAGCAGCACCAGAGTGGAAGCGTACGAAGGCCGAGACGTGATGCTGACCTTTGTGATGGAGGCATATCCTCCAATTAGGAGCCAGCGCTGGACCACACCAAAGCCCATCACCAATGACAACACCACAGTGTACCAGGAGAGCTACACTACTAATGGCTACAGGTTGGGAGGCTAACTGCAGGCTAGCATGTTGAAAGAGTTCTTAAGGGGGTATTTTTGATGTCATTGTTAATTTTTAAGGCGGTATTTGTCCTGTTGCAGGTCAGAGGCAACCCTGCTGCTGCGCCGGGTGCGTCAGGAGGATCGAGGTCGATACTCGTTTCATTTTGCAAACTCATTCTTCAACGACTCGCAGCACATTGACCTCAGGATCTATCGTAGGGAACTTCTTTTGTTCTCTCCTGGTCCCATGACCTGTCAGCCGATGTTCTCATCTGGTTGTTGTTGCTCTCTGGCTGAGGAACATCTAAAGAGTTTTTTCATTCTTCAGGTTCTCCAACTGTCGCCATCACTTTGGAGAACAACACGCTGACCTGCAGCAGCTCTGGATATCCATTACCCACAATCCTCTGGCTCACCTGCCCCGGCGTCCGAAACACGTACGCATGCACAGCGCCCCCTACAGATAACAAATAACAACCTGATGGTCTCTGGTCTCAGAGTCGTGACGTCTGTGCCTGCAGGTGTGTGGACGTATCCACCTATCAGGAGGCTCCTGTGGATGTGACCTCACAGGAAGACGAGGAGGTGAGGACACACCTCCCTGTGTCAGCTGATGATGATGTCACTGTCGAGTGCGTCGCCTACAACCTCGTAGGAGAGTCTTGTGTTGTCTTCAATCCTCGTAAGTGTAATAATAATAAATACATACAGAAATCCTGAAAATCCATGGACATGACACGTTGGACCGCTGTTCCTTTAGCCTCAGATAATCAATCAGAACTGAAAATTCAATAAATAAATACTGACCTCTGTCTCCAGGCCTGGCAGGACCTCGGACCGTCTTCACGCCGGCTCTGATTGGAGCTCTGAGTGCCATCGCTGTGCTCTTCCTGCTCCTGTTGGTCATCTTTTACAAATGCAGACAGGTGTGTTTCCTAATTATCATGGGGAGTCAGATGATCAGTGGTGGTTTCACTTCATACATGCTACCAGCTAGAGTGGAACATGAACCTGTGCACCAGCTCTTTAAAACCAGCTCAGATTAGCAAAGAGTGAGACAAGCCTCTTCCATTTTACACCTGAGGCAAAGAGGGGAAAAGCAACCTTAAAGTTACGGCATAAGGAGCGGGAGATATGAGCCCTACCTAAGATCTTAAGTTGAAATAACAGACTGTGTTTTTTTGGGCCTGTCGAAAAGATCACAGAGTTTAGAAATTCCTTTAGTTGCCCATATCTGGATACTGATGTCTTTTACACCTGGAAAGAAATCAGGATTATCACATATTGGAGTGAAGCCAGAGGTGATCCAAGCTCCACCCTCTGGTCTTCATATAGACGGCCATGCTGCAATGGTGCAGGCTGTAGTCGGCCAGTAGCAAGGATTTAAGTTTTCGAGGTTCATTAAAGGAAATTTGGACATGGAACTTTCAATATCTAGCCATAAAGATGTAAAATCATTGCGCATCCAGTCAGATAAAAGGCACAGATGAGCAACTCGCTGATTCTTTCGAACAGGTCTAGACCGCCCTCCGAAGATGAGAGACGTCATGTTGACATTTTGAGGCGTGGCCTCTTTTTATTCCATATGAAGGAGCTAAACCAGCCATTCAATTTATTTATAACTATGTGGGAGAGAAAACCAATTTAGGTGCAGCAGCCCAGGTAGGATGTTCATCTTCAACAGAGCAACCCTCACCCTAACCCGACCCAACCAGGAAACAGGAAGAGCATTCCAACTTTCTACATTCAATCTTTACGTTCAAATAAGGGAATGAAATGAGTTTGGTAAATTTAGGCAAAAGCGGAAGTTATATTTATTCCTAAATGTACAAACCCAGCAGGAGACCATTTAAAGGGGAACGGGGATGGAGTTTGAGTGGCATTACTTCTGATTTCTTGAAATTTATTCTGTATCCCAAGAAGATGCTAAATTTGTTGGTAACCTCAGCAAGAGCACAGGTAGACACCTCAGGTCAGGTTAAGTGGATCAGAATGAGGGGTTATCCTTTGTTTCCTGTCCATACATGGTTGGGCCACGTATGTTAGGGTTTGTCCTGCGTGTCCCTCTATGGCCAGGGCAGACAGAGGAGGTGGAAGTGGACAGTCCTTGCTCCCTCTTGCTGAAAAAGTTGGACGACCTCAGACCATCGTAAGCACAGCAGCAAGAGGTTCTTATGTCATAATTTAAACTGTTGGCCTAGACCTAGAAATGTATTCAATGTGTGAAACAGATTAGGCCATTCATAATGAATAGAATAGAATAGAATAGAATAGAATAGAATAGAATAGAATAGAATAGAATAGAATAGAATACCTTCTCTGCATCTAATGTTACCACCAGACCTTCTGCTGATTGTTGATGAAAGAACTGAGTTGCATTCAACGACCTGTGCATAAAATAAAACCCGTTTGGTCTTCTTTTATGAGAAGTGGCGCTAAGTCTCCCCTTAGAGATATAGGAAGTGAACCTTTTTTAAAGAGAACATGTTGAGCAGAGGATGGATTAAAATGTTCTGAAACTCCTTATAAAACTCACTACTGAGCCGTCTGGTCCAGTTGCTTTCCAGAACGCATCGCTTTATTAGCACGTAAAATGTCGTTCCTAGTTGTAGGAGCATCGTGAGCAGCCCTCTGGGCATCTGACAGAGTAGGCAGCTTGACAGAAGAAAAGAGGCGTCCATTAAATCTGCACCGTCAGATTGGAGCTCCCATTTATACACATTTTCGTAAAAATTCCTAAACGTGTCATTAATACTTTCGGCGTCAAAGAACTGTCTACTGCTACTTCTGCTGTGTCACACAAGCCAGATATTCACCAGCTTTGTCACCGCGTTCGTACTTTTTTTTTTTGGCAAACCTAATCTTAGTCTCTGCGTGTTTTCTTCTTTTGTTTTGCCTTTTGGCTGTATTTGACAGGATAGTAGAGAGGCAGACAGGAAAGTAGGAAGAAGAAGAATGGAGGACGGAACCCATGGCCTCTGGGTCGGGGACTATAGCCCCTGTTCATGGGTCAACCAGGCACCCCTGAGTATTCAGAGCGACTCTAAAGCAGAACAAAGTGCTGAAACTTCTTTAAGGTTCTTTGAAGATGGGTTCTTAACATCTTTTTTTCAGCCATTTGGAGTTTGGATTCAAAGATGTCTCGTTGTTCAGCTCGTCTTCGTCTTTTGCTGGCTGTGCAGGGTCCAGCTGCCGGTGTCCAGTCTGAGGGTCTGGTTCTTGGTTGAGTTGGACAAAGACTGCAGCAGGGTCTGATTCAACTGTGTTACCTATGGAGATAGATGCAGCTGAGTCCATCAGTGTTTTTGGAGCAAAGAAATAATCTGTTGATGTATGATATTTATGGACTTTAGAGAAAAAGGAAACCTCTTCCTCTGCCGGGTGCTGAGCTCTCCATACGTCTGTAAAGTGCAAATCTTCACAAAGAGCATTAAAAACGTTAGCTTGAGGAGAAGGAGACTGTCCCCCACAGTTGTTCTTAGATGACAGTTAAAGCACTACAGAAGCAACTGAAAGTAAGGATTCAGGCGGGGAAACAGAGACAACAAAGACTGGAACACCAACCACAGCAGGATGGAGTGAAGCAGGTCTGGAGGAGGAATATCACAGGCCTGGTCGCTGCCTGCTGGAGATCAGGACCTGGCTGATGGCATCAATGTGTTTAACAGATTCGGCAGCTCCACTCCACCTTGGTGCTGTCTGGTGCCTATTCCCCACTCCACCAGCTCCATCCCCACCTCACCCATAACACTCCAGCCATATCGGGGTTAACCCTAACCCTGGCATTAGCCCCAGACTGCTGAAGACCTGCTCACACACCTTTTCAACCTGAGCCTGCATCTACAGAAGATCCCCACACTGTGGCAAACATCCTGCTTAGTCCCGTCCCCAAAAAGAGACACCCCACTGACTGTAAGACTACAGGCCTGTTGCCCTCACCTCACATTTAATGAAGACTCTTGAGAAATTGGTCCTCTCCTACTTTAGACCTAAGGTGAGGACGTTCATGGATCCTCTGCAGTTTGCATACCAGCCTAACATCAGTGTGGATGATGCCCTCATCTACATGCGACAGAGGGCCCATGCTCACCTGGACACCTGATACAACTGTGAGGATCATGTTCTTCGATTTCTCAAGTGCCTTCAGTACGATCCAGCAGGGGCTGCTTGGTGAGAAGATGAGGAATATGCAGGTAGAGTCAGCACTGATCTCCTGGGTCATGGACTATTCAACCTGCGGACCACAGTACGCCTTCAGAACTGTGTGTCTCAGAAAGTCCTGAGCAGTACGGGGGCCCTCAAGGAACTGTGCTGTCCCCTTTACATCTGACTTCCAGCACAACAGTCAGCGGTGGTCGGTTGTATTAAGGGAGAGTGTGAGGTGGAATACAAGGGCATGGTCAGGGACTTTGGGGACTGGTGCAACCTCTACCTCCTTCAGCTTAACATTTCCAAGACCAAGGAGATGCTGGTGGACTTTAGGAGGAAGAGGCCAGAACCAGAGCCAGTCACCATTCAGGGCACAGAGGTGGAAGATGTCTCTAGCTACAGATACCTGGGAGTACCGCTGGACAACAAGCTGGACTGGTCCAGCCACAGTGTTCAAGAAGGGACAGAGCAGACTGTACTTCTTCAGAAGGCTGAGGTCCTTCAACATCTGCAAGCCTCTTCTGTGCTCCTTCTAGCAGACTATGAGGGCCAGTGCACTTTTCTTTGGTGTGGTGTGCTGGGGGGAGGGGGCTCGCACTGCCGATAGAAACCGACTCAACAAACTGATGAAGAAGGCGAGTTCCATCATCCATTCCTCTATTCCTCATCTTCCTCAAAGCATTTAAGACAGACAGGTGTGGAGTCTCAGCTTTGAGCCGCTGTGTGATGCGCCCTCTCCAACGTCAATCAGCTCCTCTTCGTTTCAATGTTAAGCATTTTCAGCAACCACATCTCCAAAAACTGTGGCATTACTGCCCTCAGCATCAGTTGGAAATCCAATGATGCGTTTATTCTTTCTCCTCCTGCAGGGCGTCGATACGATCGTCCATGTCCAGCACCTGAACTGGGTGCACAGTATCCCCGGTGCCCAAGTTCTTGTCTCTGCCTCAGAGATCCGCTTTGACCATCGAGTTCTTCCCGTTGCATTTGGAGCGGTTACGAATCGGAGTCAGAGATTCAGCAGAGACAGGCGCAGTGAAATAAAGTGTAGTTTTATTTACAACCGTGATAATAAAGTGCCTACAGAAAAAAACGAAAGCTGAATCCTAAACTACAATATTTAAAAAAAGAAACCGGAAACTGGGTCAAAGGTAACGGGTAAACGGTTACGCAAACAACGGCAGAAAAAGACAATCAGGAACTCAAGAAGAAGTAAATTATTGCCTCCTGGAGGCAGGCAAATAAATACCCAACCAGAGATACAAAAAAAACGAACTGAATGCGAGGTTAGAGAGAGTGATACCAGACACAGAAATGATTTAATAGTTACGGCAAAAAATCCAACCCAAACTTGGTACCACCAACCAGGAGGGAGATAATTTAGCAATACATACAATTACATACAATACTAAAATACAGGAACCCAGCAAGAGACCGACAGCTTCCTGACTGCAGGGAAGCGGCAGCGGTGAGGCCGGATGGCAGCGGGTAGGTGTGGACACGCTAGAGAACGGTCTGGGATTCCTTCAGCGGAGAAGCCAGTCGTCACCGGGATGCCAGGAACGGCAGGGCAGGTTAACCGAAGCAGAAACAGAGCGAAGGTTACACTGGATTCAGGCCAAAGGTTTGAAGGCAGCTTATATGGGCAGTAGAGGTGAGCAGAAACCACACCCTGCCACAGGTGAAGACACTCAGGTAATCAGAAAATCCTCTGCTGAGAGAAGAGAGAGACCCCGCCACTGGGTGGAGCCAGAGCTGGAGGCCCTGACAGGAGCTTCTGGAGATATTGACCTTAATGTTGGAGATCGCTTCCCGAAGTGTGTTAGCGCTAGCTCCAGCCTCCCTGTCCCCGATAGCTTGTTGCCAAGAGTCTTTTGGCTTGTTCGGTTTAGTGTTTTTTCCCTGCAACACCTTATTAATGCTCATTACGTGGAGGGGTCTGTGAAAAGTCGGATTTGCTGGCAGTAATGTAGAAAATTTGCATTGTGGCACACCAGCTCAACCATTCCTGTCCTTTTAAGCCACCACCTCGAGAACACCGATATGTGGCTTAAACACTACTCATTTTTAACATTTTTAGCAAATCAAGTCAGTTTTATTCAAATAGCTCCAATTCACAACAGATGTCATGTCATAGCACTTCACAGAGTAAAGTGAAGACCTCACACATTTTCAACAGAGAACCCAACAATCCAAGGTAGTTTTAGGATTCCTTCTGAGCAAGCAGTCGGTAACAGTGGGAAGGAACCAAAACATCAAGTTAAACCTCCAGCAGAACCAGGCTCAGGGAAGGAGGCCATCTGCTTCGACCGGTTGGGTGAGAGAGGGGATGAGGGAGTGGAGATAGCCGACAAACAATACAAACAGAACAATGAACATTTTGGAGGTCGGTGAGAACAGATGAGAGACGTGAAGCTTCAGATCCAGAGAACAAAGAATCACTTATTGCAAACAGTGGAGCCGAGTGACAATGGTTCTGCTCAGATCTGAGAGTAAAGACAGAAAATCTGCTTCTTCTTCTACTAGAAACCCAAATACGAGATTCGCTGGAAGATCATTGAGAGCACTGATGGAAACAACTACACCTTTGTCGACCCCACCCAACTGCCGTACAACCAACAATGGGAGTTTCCTCGAGACAAACTCCGCCTCGGTACGATGGCACCAAACACCACGGCGCCAGCATTCAGGTTCACACTGAAACTCACGGCTCGGTTTTCACTCTTCATCTTTCAGGTGCTGTGCTGGGCTCGGGGGCGTTCGGGAAGGTGGTCGAGGCGACGGCCTACGGCCTGGAAACCGACAACAAGGTCACCAGAGTCGCCGTGAAGATGCTCAAACGTCAGTCCTCGAGCCTTCGTCTTCATCGTTTATCATCGTCATTGTCATGAGGGCTGTACGATCTCAGGAAAAAACCTCCCATCTGATTAAACAGCTGAGAGAAAACAGTGTGAAAAAGTAAAACTAAAGAACTCCAAGAACCTGAAATCAGAGTTAATTCGATCAGACCTAAACAGAACGCAAGAGTTTCGTAGGGTTAGGGTCGTGCAGCTCTAACCGTCGCCTTCATCATCCTCAGTGACGCAACGATCTGATGTTTCCACAGCGAGCGCTCACTCGGAGGAACGGGAGGCTCTGATGTCGGAGCTGAAGATCCTCAGCCATCTTGGTTACCATGACAACATTGTGAACTTGCTGGGAGCCTGCACTCAAGGAGGTGATGAATTATTGATTATCTGACCTCAAACATGATCATTTCGTTCAGGTATAGATGCGTATGAGTGGATCTGCCTGCAGTTCTGTTTCACTCAGGGACAGTTTATGAACCACCATGTCAGACCTCTAACTCCGCCCCCTCCAGGCCCAATGCTGATGATCACAGAGTACTGTAGCCACGGCGACCTGCTCAACTTCCTGCGGGCTCACGCTCAGGACATCATGGCGTCCATGTTGAGTGTGGACAAAGTGGAAGACGAGGCCTTCTATAAGAACGTGGCCGCCCAGAACGCCAGGCTGCGCAGGTCTGACAGTCCAGCTGGATTCATTCCTGAAACACACATTCACATTTTAAAAGTCCACAATTATTACAGTCATTAAAGAAAGTAAATATATTTACCTACACTTTTTAAAAATACATACAATACAAATACAAGTTTGACTGAACTTTAAAAACACTTAGAAAAGTTAAATGAAGTCATACATTGCATAAGAAACGAGTTTAAACATGTTCGTGTAACCCTGTGAACGCCGGCAGTCATGTTCCTTCAGTGAGGTTCATGAAGTCCTGTAGCTCTGAGGAGCCATAACCACATGAAGGAGAGAGAACTCAGAGATGCCTTCTGTCAGAAGGACTCAGTTAGAAAGTCATCTCAGTCTTTATTACTTGCAAAATTCCATTTATTGGCAATTTGTTTTGTCTGCTGCTAATATGAGTTGGACAGTGTAGAGAAAACTCTGCTGGCATTCATCTGAAACCCTCATGAGGAGTTGTTCCTTCACATCCTTTGTATTTAGAAATCCTGAATTTAAACAACTGTCGTCACAGATCTTCAGCCACATTATCATTTAATACTTTGCTAACTGTTAGAAAAACAAATGAAGCACAGCGGTCAGTTTTCTGATCGACTTTTAGCGTTTTTAGTGTTTTGCACAGTCATCATATTCTCATGTGGTCAAGAGTTTTAATAAATCCAGAAATATACTGAAAGCTTTGATCACAGCTTAAAGAGGGATTACCTCTGTGTGCTACTGCAGTACTTGTACCTCAGCTCTCTGTATCCGGACTACATGAAGTTTTTTGCAGGTATGTGTGATGAGTTCAGGTGAGGTGACCTGTCATCAACCATGTGTGTTGCAGTGACAGCGGGATCTCATGCTGTTCAGAGTATCAGGAGATGCAGCCGGTTCTGAGTGCAGGACAGACACACCTGGGTAAGACCTTGCCTGAACTCACCTGTACTCATCTGCAAAACATCTCTGAGGATACACCTGTCTAACTGCCCACCTGTCTGTCTCACAGGTGCACACACAGACAGTCTCTCTGTCGGTGATCTCATGAGGTTTTCTTACCAGGTGGCTCAAGGTCT